CCCCTGTTGAAGTGGCAGTAAATGGCAACATTTGTATCAGTGAGACAAAAAAAAATCTGTGACTCTAAATTAGCTAGGAATAAAAGGACAGAAATTTTAAAAACTTTTTCAGAGAAAAGGAGATGTTAGGAGAATTTTGAGGGGAAGAAAGGATAATGGAGCTTGGGCAAAAAAATGGCAAAGTGGGAAATTCCCAGTGGCAGGGAGCCTAAAGGTGTTGTGAGAACAAGAGTATTGCACATTCAGTATTAAGTTGTTTATGTTTCTGTGATTTAAACACCCTCTACCTCTCCAAATCTGAAGTATAGCCTTCTTATGTACTTAGAGGCCAACCATGGAGTCCTATGTGTGGGTGAGTGTGGACCAGAAACAGGTGAGGAAGGGAGTCAAGCTCGAGATTGAAAGTTTCAGCCAGAGCCAGAAGTTGAAGCCAAGACATGACACTGGAACTCCAGGCCAGAATTTCCCAGGAGAAAATACACTTTTGAAACCACACTGGCCTATCTGCAAGATGTAGGATAAAGAGCCAGAGCCCTGGAAAATCTTGTTTATCTCTCAAAGGGTAGAGTGACTTCAGCTGATATCTGGGTTACATGTATAAGTATCCAATTAATTAGAAAAAACAGGACCAGCTTGGGGCCTGCATAAAGAAAAGCATCCTATAAATGTCATTTTTCTCCTCTTTTACTATAACAACCAAGGGAAATGTGTTAAATTAAAAACAAACAAATAAACAGAAAAGCACCACTTCTTAGGCTGAAGGACCTTAAAGTCTTAACACAGTCTCTTATTCTATGTGTGATCTTTAGTAAATTTGCTACCCTTTAAGGCTTTATTTTCCTAATGAGTAAAATACTCATATTAATATCTGCTTTGAAAGGTTAATCAGGACACAGCATCTGAAATATAGTGTTTAATTGATATTTATACTAATAAAAGACAACAGTTATTACGTACTTATTATGAACTCGATACTTTTCCTAGTGTAATACTTTGATTTATCTCATTTAATACTTAACAATGGCCTCTTAAGGTAAGTGAAAAGATCTCTGTTTTACAGATGGAGAAATGGAGACAAGATGGTTGGCAGCTTTCCCAAGGTCACTTAGAGTCCAAGTTAGGACATGAAACCAGATGAACCTGTTGCCTCCAGCCAGATGGAAGAGAGTAATAGGTCTAGGCATCATCAGGTGGACTTCCCTGAGGGGGCACTATAGCGTGGCATGAGAGGATCTGGAAGGCTTGCTGAGTCACCTTCACTTCTCCACAAACATGGAGAGGCAGGTTTAGAGTCAGTTTCACCCTGACTGGGGTGGTCAGGATGAGAAGGGAAGCAGTAAGAATGGTTGAAGCTGTGGAGGCCTGTGCGAGGAAAGCCGTAGGAACAAGGGAGAAAATGTGGGTGAGACCTCAGGCAAGAGGTTTGGAGGTGCAGTGAGGGTGAGGTTGGAGAAGTGTATTCCTTTGAACTTGCAGAATATCAACAGGCCTTGAGTATGTTGGGTGAACCCACTGACTGACTAAAGTTAGATAAGAAATGGTAGATCTTAAATCTCATGAGGCCAAACCTTAGTGGCTGGATGACACAGCACTTACATTGTGCACACTGAGAGTTCTTTCCCAAGGACTTATGACAGAGGGATCACACAGGTACTTAGCTGGAGGCACTCTAGAACAAAGATGAATTGATGAATTGATGCAAGTGTATTTTACCTACCCCTTAACAAGATCACGTGAGTTCATATAGTGAGGAGAAGAGAACATAAGGAGAGGGGAGAAAAGGGGGGAGGGAGCCAGTATAACAAATCGACTGGTCTTACAAAAACGCTGTAAGCATTTCAGTGTCTCTAGCTTTGCCCACGTAGTCCTGACTGGCATTCTGTCTGCCCATGGCTACTTTACTTTTCAGGACCGCATTGGTGCATCGAGTCAATTTTAACACTGCCCTTTTCCATACTTTTTTGGCTATATTACTGGTAACATTAAGCATCAAGCTATACTCTGCCTACTATTAATCCTATGGATGGAGACTTAAAAGCCATGCATTTGAGCTGAATGATGTGAGCAAGTATGCATACTTACCCCCATTTCCAGATGAGATTATGGAACAAAATCAAGACCACTTCTTTGACTTCATGACGCTATCTTTGATCTAAGCTGAATTGTACTGAAATGGAGCACTGTGTTTTTACATTGCACAGTATTATAGTTATCTCTTTATCTGACCATTTGTATGCTACAGCTGCAGAGCCCTGTGATTGGCACAGAGAAGGGGCTTCGTAAATCCTTATCAAATGAGTGAATGAAATTATACTGAAAAGGAGCCATATAAAAAGGTGAATGTAAGATGTCATAGGATGAAATGTTCATAAATACTACTGACCTGTTGTCTAGATAAATTTGTACTCTTGGTCTCTTAAGATTATGTTCTTTTAGTTCTCTTTCTTTCATCTCTTGATTTCACTTACATACTTGACATTTCTTTCCACCAAATCTGTGCCCTGGCTTTTGCTGCATCATTACACCAGCAAATGTTTGTAAAATTGGTATTGTGAGCAGTGTGAAATGCAGCAGTAATAGCATGGAATGGGAAGCTGATTTTTCAGAATGTGTCCTGTTTATGAATCAGACTAATTATTTAACAAACCATAAAAAATAGCAACAATAATCATGAAAGTATGGTCTTTCCTTTCCTAAAAGAATTGTCTTCTCTGACAAAAGAATTTTAAGCACTCAAGTATGTTAGCTGGAGGGAACATTAGAGATAATTTAGTCCTGACAAAGCTTATTTTTTCTTCTGAGTGCTACATTCTACTTTGAATTTAATTATGAAATTAATGCTAAGTCGTTATTTCATGATAAAATAAGATCTTCTTAGCTTATAAGATTATAGAATGCATTGATAACTTGTTACAGGATTAAGAACTACATAAAGATTTTCCTTTCCCAAGAATTGCTGCTCTCTCTCCCTAAACTTACTAGAAATGGTATACTTAAGTAAAAATATTTTTCATCCAAATATGTGTAATGTAACTTTTAAACAATGAGTTCCTTTTAAAATTACGAGTGTAATAGTAATAGATTAGCAACTCTTCATTTTTTTTACTCTCTCTGACGAGCCATGTATGTAATATGATTATTTCAGAGCCCATAAAATTCAAAGAGATTCATATATGCTGGTGAATGTTAAAACTGGTCACCTGGAACAGGTGCTTATGCAAGTGAGGCACCACCCCAGCTCTCAGAAGGTTCCATTCTTTGACTACAGCCTACTGAGTGCCTGGATCACTTTTCAGTCAGTTTGTGGCATCTCTTGGCTCTTTCCAATGTTCTCCCAATTCCAGGGATTAAATTTAAGCTTTGTTCTTTCTTAACTCTGCCCTGGGCCTCCTCTTACCCCTAATTATGCTTATCAGAGAGTTATAGTTTTTCTCTTATTTTCTGTTTCCTTTTTCACCACACTGTAAAATGCAAAGACCTCTTTTATTTTAAGAATTTTACTGTTAATTATTATTTTTTTAAAAAAAAAAAAGAGGTATGGGAAAACAAAAATGACACACATGCACACTTCTCAGAGTCATTAAGATAAAATATGAGAAAGAGTAACTTGTAGAGCACCTGACAAAAACAAGCCTTGAAAAAATTCCAAAGGAAGGCTGCACATACTTTATTGTTTTAACATTTGAGGCATAAAAACCTTAAATCCAATAATCAATCAAATAGGATCCATTTGGTTAAGGAATTTATATTCAATAATTATCAATAATTGAAGGAGTTATTTAATTCTAGACTTGTAAAAGAAAAATATTTTTTGAGTATAATTAAGTTAACACTCTGTAATGAGAACTTTATGCTATTTAGTAATTATGGTCAGACTATAAATGGTCAAAGGCATATTTGATAATAATAGCTGTAATTTAATGCATCCTTGATATTGCAGAAATTATATTGAGTGATAAATATCTTCCCCACAACCATTTGATACCATACCTGTGTCCCAATTCTTAGTAGATGATCTTGCCACCTTCCGCACAGAGAAATTAGAAATCACTTTGATTTCCCACTATTGGCCCTGTTAATAATTACCATTTAATAATTACCATTAAATAATTACCATTTTTGTGAATCTCTTCTTTATTCCTTCCTATTATAGTTAAGGAGGTGTCTCTCCTTTTAAAGCCAATACAGCAGTGTTCTGGTAAATGTTCAACAACTAGTTTTCTGAAAAAAAAAATCCTAATTTGTAGCATTTACTGATTTCCATGGTGTAAATACTTCCACCATGGCTGATTGCAAGCTACCAATATTACATCAATGAACAATGCATGGAAAGAGATGTGCACATGGGCTTTGAAAGCCAATACAATCCAGCTCCATCACACCGCTGGGTGGATCCCTCTTATTTTCTGAAGAAGCATTAGAGAATGGTAGGGGTGGGGGGAATCTGTGCATAGATTCTAAAGTCATATTTGTTTGAGTTTGTATCCTGGTTCTACTGCTTAATATGTCTAAGTTTTGGATAATCATAAATTTTCTGTACTTCAACTTCCTAATTGGTAAAATGATGACTAACAAAGACATATCCTATCAGGTATAGCAATATTATCCTCCCAGTACATAACAGAAGGATAAAATATCTTTGAGGAAGAGTATTATTATCAATCTCCATTTTACAAATGAGGACATTGATGAACTAGAGCTACTATTCTAATTCTTTCTTTCTATTTAGACAAATGTTATTCCATATCTTCCACTCCCATTTACTCCTTAATACATTCCCTTCTGGCATCAGCACACATTCGCATAGAACTATAGCTATTAGGAATAACCTTCTATCTTACGTTGGGCTTTCTGGAAACAGACTTTTAGACAGAGATTTGTGTGTAGGAAGATTCCCGGAGAGTGCTTTCAGAAGGGACTTTATTGAAATGATGGGGGAGCAGGACTGTGAAGAAGCAGAGATTGACATGACTGTGATGCATTTACACTAGAGGCCTTACCAGGTATGGTGGGTTCTGGAACTGAGATGGTCCATCAGAGCTGTTCTGAATTGAAGTGAGGGGACAGGTCCTTTGTTTGCTGTATTAACCAGTCATTGAAGTAGAAGAAAAGAAACATTAGGCTAGGAGGTTCCCTTTGGTACTTTCAGGAGTTAAATACAGCTGTGAGGCCCCAGCAGCTAACAAACCAACCAGTCAGCTCAGGGAATGAGCTCATCTTCTAGAATGAGGGCCTGGGTGCATTTATATCCCTTGTACTGCTCAGATCCATTTGTTTCATATGGTAAGTTCACTTCATCGAGTGACAGTTTTTTCATAATTATTTTTTTTTCTTTTTCAGCTGTAAGTTGGTGAGAACCAAGATTCTTAATGGCATCATTTCTTGGGAAAACTTACAAGATGCATGTTAATAGGATGAACTAGAGCTGCAGCTGCTGTACCTAGTCTTGAGGCCACAACAGATCTCCTCCTTAATACCCATACCCCTCACCAAAGTCATCATGCCTCTCTCAGGCTATGGTTGCTGGACTTGCCCATTTGCATGTCCATTCAAAATTGGGCAGGAGTGTACCAAGAGAGAAGTCCCGGTGGATGGATCACTTCAGTGCTGAACATATTCTTCTCTATCCACTTTGTGTACTGGCAGTCCTATCTCTTTCTGAGGATTAGGATAAATTACACCTGTCAGATGGTAACTCCTTTCCTTACCTGTTAGTCTGTTGATACAATGGACCTGACTTGACCAGATAGTAGCCATAACTCAAAGCTAAATGGAAATCCTGCTGAGTTACCTCTGTGGGAATTAGCTCTATAGAACCACAATGTATAAAGTTGTAGAGGTGCATTCCCCAAGTGAGTCTCTGGGAGGGATAGTAAAGGGAATTGCTTTCACCCCTTGGGTCCTGGTCCCATGTATTCTACTTACTGGGGACACAGCACCACCGAATGCTCATTGCAGTCAGATGTATAGTCCATTTTGGTAAGTTCAGTTCTGATTATGTCACTCTCTTACTTAAAAATCTTCTATGGTTTCTCATGGCTCTTTGGATATTGACCAAAAGCTTCAACCTGGCCAAGGCTCTGTTGTAATCTCCTGTTTTATCATGAGATACCCCTCTCTCCTTTTGTGTCAGTTACAGACTTTCAGTTCCTTGAAAGTGCCATTCTCCTTCCTACCATCAAGGCTTTGTGCATGCTATGCCCTCTCCCTGGAATGTGTGACCACACACATACCCCCTTCATTTAGGTCTTAGCCATATTTCACATGTCAGCACCAGCATCACTACTTCATGGAAATATTCTGCTTGAGCAGATTGGTAGAAGAGGCTTGGCAGTCTATTTAGCATGAAGAATCTTCCTATTTGGAGTCAACTGTAAATGTATTCCTCATTTGTGACGAGCCTTCCTGGCTCTTGCTTGTGTTATGCCATTGAACATCTCCAGGGAACCATAGAAAAGGGCATTGCTGTTTAATCAGCTCCTGATTTACCATGTAGATTACAAAGAAACTCTAAAATGCTGGCCAAATACTACTTCTTACTAGCATCTATTTCACATGGCAAAAGTCCCTGATTTTTGTGTAGACAAATATCAACTGTTTTAAACCAAGCAAATTGGAGGTGAAGTAAGGTGAAGGTGGCTACTCTTGTTTTTACTGCTTTCTTTCCTTCAGACTGAGCTCTGAACAAACTTAAATATTTCATATCAGCTTCCTGTGTCTGATGTGAGTCAGGTTGTTTCCTCTGCCTGGAATGCTCACCTTTCTGAACCACTCTTTTTACCACTATCCCCTCCACAACTGTGCACATGTCTTGGGTTTTCAAATCCCATTCATCTTCACTTTTTGCATGACATTCTTTTTTTATTTCATGCCCAACCTTACTCTCATCCTGGTAATCCCACTTATTAGAACTCACATTTTCTGAACCTTTCTTATGTAGGTTCATATATCCTTCTTTCTATTTTAGTCTTATGAATGCATGCTTTACTATACTGCGAGATTCTCTTATTTGTTGAATAAATAAAACAATGTAATGAATCAAAAATATTGGTGACCAATGAGGAACTAAGGATTACACAGGAGCCAGGGGTAAAGAATAAATAACCAGAAAAAGGCAGTGAGTTAAAAGCCAGATAAAGAACCCAAGAGGCAAAGAACAAAGACAACCCTTTAAGAGAAGAAGACCTTGAGACTAAAGCTTAACATTATATGATTCAGTTGAAATGGCTGAAATTGTAGGAGGCTCCAAATCAGGGGCAAGTTAGGTGATTCATGTGTTGAGTCACGGAAACCTCTTTGCGTAAAAGAGGGTGCTGGTTGACTTAAATTATTAAGTTATTTTAGGTGGTTTTCCTTCCCTAACCTAAGGTCAGAGGAGGAAAATGGTATTTCCTTTGAGTGGGAAGACAACTGGGAAGATACAAGGAAAGGAGACATTTCAGCAGCAAGACCAATCTTGGGAAGTAGAATGATAGACTTAAAAGAGGAAAAAAAGACAGAGTAAGAACTTTGTCAAACTTCTTAAGGGTAAGGGGAATGTAATCACTCACTCAGAAACTTTGAAGTCCCCCTAAAAGAGAGTCTATAAAATAAAAAGATTCAGTCAGTTCTATTGGTTGTGAGTCTAAGGAGTCAGAAGAGTTAGAGTCAAGAAGAAATAAAACATGAAATAAATTTTCTGTGAAGCTTTAGAGTTTACATTTTGTTATCTTTCATCTATATTTTTGGTATAATATAGTCAAAACTTTCTGGTTGACCAAATTCAATTTTCATCCTAATGTTCTGATATTATGTAGACATAGTTAAAAAACCCACTGAAAATAGTACCAAATATATCTCTAAAAAACTTACTGATTCTCCCATGTTTTCTTTTGATTATAGTAGTCACTTTGAATAAAAGGTATTAAAAATGAGAACATTTAGACTACAGATGACTATAACCACAGCATTCAATCTTGTAGTCCTTACATCCAAAGAGTCAAGGAAGATAAAGATCTTTATTTGACATCAAGGCATACCAATTTTCAATACCTCAGTTCACACTAATACATTTTATGCATGAGCTCATCTCTTCTTTCATATTATGTGCATTCTTTGGTGCTTGTAAGAGTTTCTCAACACAAGGCTCATTGTATTTATCACTCTTACATTCTAGAATGCCAGCACCCAAATAGTAATGATCTCATAGTTGATGAATCAAGTCTTAGATGTAGTATAAAAAGGACAAATTATTGCTAGGAGAATCAGGGACATGAAATGCAATGATGTTTTAAAGTTTGAATTATAATGCACAAACAATAGAGAAGCTCAATTTTGTTCAATATCCATGATTATATGTAGGAATGCCTTTTCCTTGAAGGCAGTCTTGATAGCATTCATGTTATTTGTGTATCAAAGTAAAAATTAAAAGCATTAAATATAAACCAAATAGCTGGAATGATTATTAGAAAAAAGTCTTCTAAATTTTAAAGTATTCTTTAGGAAACAAGAAAGCTTTGGTTATAGCTTGGCATTAAGAATAGTAGGGTAGAATATTGCATGAATCTGTTAAATGTCAGAAGAGAATGAGAATTGCTCCAGTAAATACTTTTCTTGGTTTATAATGTACACATTGTTTTTATATAGGAAATTTTTTCCTGTTTTTAACAGGAAATTTAAAATTTCCTGTTACCTAGCACCAAAGAATTCTCATTTATCTTTTCTCTTAATAATAATCTTAGGCTATATCTGTCTTCCTTTTCTCTCTCTCTTTCTCTCTTTCTTTCTTTTTCTTTCTTTCTTTCTTTCTTTCTTTCTTTCTTTCTTTTCTTCTTTTTCTTCCCATTTTATAGCAGAAGGGCTGAAACAGAAACATTAACTTACAGTGTTAACACAAATAAATAACTTCCAGAATTATTTGAGACTTCTTGGAAAAATAATTCCCAGAATATCTATTATAGTTGTCCCTCATTATACTGTGGAGACTGATTCCAGGACTACTCATATATACTGAAATTTGTGCATACTTAAGTCCTGAAATTGGTCCTGCAGAACCCACAAAGTTGGCCCTCCCTATATATAAATACTGTATTTGTGTTTGGAAAAAAATTCATGTATAAGTGGACCTTCACAATTCAAATCCATGTTCTTCAAAGGTCAACTCAGTATTGAAAGTCCTATGGAACTGGTGGGACTTAAACATTATTATGTAACAATAAATGCTTTTCATTAGAATGCAAAGATCATGTGAATTAATCATTTTAGATAATTGTTCCAACCACAGATTACTGAGAGAATTGAATGCATGTGGGCAGCACATTGACAAGGACTGAAAACTTTCTGAAATGAATGTTGATGTTTTATGGATGGTTTTTATATTATGCCAGGACCAAATTATTTTGTTTTTAGTTTTAATTTTATATTTTTCAAAATTATGTATGCACATAATTTGAGTTAATGAGTTGTACAAGGTTTGTTACCCAAACAGCAGTGTCAACCTTTTTCTTTTTTCTTTTTTCTTTTTTGTCTCCCTAGAGGCAACTACTTTTACATCCTGTAGCTGATTCTCTTGGTGCCATATGTCTAAACATGTTTTTAATCACTACTCCCTGATTTTTCATTTTTAGCCATTACTTATTGAATTTGCATTATGTATGACAAGAATGAAACTCTCTTTTCTCCCCCAGTCTTCACTGTCTTCCTCAAATATTATAATTTTGCTTAGATGAATATTCAACATTCATGTTATAAAATGCAATTTATAGTTGAGTCATGTAGTAAACTATTATTTTTACTTTCCTAGAAAACTATTTATTTTATCTAGAGTCAGTTACCATCCTTTATCTTCTTTTGTTTATTTTCTTAATGTGCTTATAACTAATTCAACCTCAAACTTTTTGGGCAAATTTTTCCTAAAAAAACCTATAAAGTTTTTAGGATTTTAATCCTATAGACCGTGTGGTCTCTGTCACAACTATACAACTCTGCTATAGTGGATTTGGCCCCTGGGCTGTAGTTTGCAGCCCCTGGTCTAAATCATCCCTGAGATGTTCAGTTGTTTCAGATATTCTATCATTATAGTTTTTCTTCAGAGAAGTTTT